TATTATACATCAGCTGCTATGTCATTGCTATGCTTCCATTGCTATGTGGGTCCTTCTAGCTCCTTCCGTACTAACGACCATGTTAACAGCTTTAAGGAATACAATACATATTGTGCATTTTGTTGTATTTACAGTTTTTTTTATTTAATGTTTTGACTCATTGAAACTATAAATACTCGGTAGGAAACAGAGTTCAGATATGTGCATGAGTTATGTTATGAATGGCTGTGTGCATGTGTTGCTGTCATTTGCCAGTGTATTAATGTGAATGTGTGCAGAGGGATTAGGCTGCTATCAGTGCAGCTCTCCCAGGCTTTAGGACGAGCCCGGACAAAGAGGCTGATTTCAATGTAAATGCAGCAGCTGAGAGGACACAGCTCTCTCAGTGGGGTGACTTCCACCCTGCACACACACACACACACACACCACACACACACACACACCACACACACACACACACACACACACACACACACACACACACACACACACACAACCCACACACACACACACACACACACACACACACACACACACACACACACACACACACACACACACACCACACACACACACACACACACCACACCACAACACACACACACACACACCACACACACACACACACACACACACACACACACACACACATCAACACACACACACCACAACACACACACACACACACACACACAACAACACACACACACACACACACACACACACACACACACACACACACAACACACACACACACACACACACACACACACACACACACACACACACACACACCACACACACACACACACACGCCTGGAATATTAAATCTGGGGTGTTCTGACTGAATCTACTCCCTGATTTGAAGAAGTTTGCACATGTTGTAGACTAGGAAACACTCTGAGATAAAAGCTGCAGATATTGATGTGTTCAGTGTGTCTTTGCACCTGTCAGTAATTTCAGATATAATCTGGTCCTCAGTGCTCTCTATCCAGAGTCCATCATTAGGCCGGCATTATCCCCTCCCTGGCCTCTGCTCCTCTTATTACATGCAAATAGTGCAGCTTTATCTGAGGGGTGAAAGAGAGCCCGTCTCTAAAGAAAGGGACACCCTCCTCTCCCACTCAAAGCCATTCCTCCATCTATTACTGCATTCTCTGCCTCAGTGCACACACACACATCTCATGGCGTCAGTGACACAAAGGCTGGGGTGGGGCTGGGGTGGGGGGGCACTAAGTGTTGAGAGAGTTGTCAGTGTGATGAAGTAAACTGCTAACTTTAAAATGTGTGCTCTGTTCTCTGGTGCTGCATCACTGTTTCATGGGGTTCCAATCTTCCATACTCATTTGACTTAAAGGTGATGGAATTAAAACACATCTACATACTGACAGTAAATATTAGAAAGTACTGTAATACAATTAACTACAACAATATGTTAGAACTAAAGAAAAGGCTGTACGGAAAAAAGTACAATTTCCTTAGTGAGGATTGCTACTCTATATATGGGAAGACCGGGAACAAATAAATAAATAGAAAATGTGATGATAATAATGCTAAGTTTTGATCAATAAAAGTTGAGATACATAAACACATAACATCTTTGTATACACATTAAAACATGTTATAGGCCAATCTAGATTGCCTGCCACAAAACGATTCAATACTATAGTAGAGTAAAGCCCCGGACACACCAAGGCGATTTTGGCCGTCGGTGGGCGTCAGGCCGACGATGAGCGTCGACACGCCCTACTCAGATTGGTGTGTCCCGCACCGTCGTGTCTTTTCAGCCGGGCCGACGCCTTTTCGGCCGAAAACCCCACCGATCAGTCAGCAAAAGAAATCACTCTGATTGGCTGTTCAGCTAGCGAATCAGTGCATGAGAAGCGAAACGGAAGTGAGGGACCCAAACAAACTATTAAGAAGGCACATCTGAGATTTCCTTTAACCCCAGCTCTCGACACAGGTTCAGGAAAGCCCCATGAGCTTCTCGCTGCAGAGTGAAAATGGAACGCACACGCTATTTGTTGTTTGTTTATATCACGCAGTCTGTTCTTCTTCTCTCGGTTATCACGCAGCCTGTCTTCCGGTTGTTGCCTCTTTTGAATGACGAATACACACTACCGCCGCCTGCTGGTAAGGAGAGTTATTGCCACTCACGCATGCGCAGTTCGTACGTGCTTCTTGGCCGTCGGCTGAAGTCTTTGCGGTGTGTTCCAGTGCGACACATGGCCAAGACGCAGAGACGCGAGGCGACACAACAGTCGGGTCCGTCTGTGTCAGTTCTTTGGTGTCAGATTGGTGTGTCCGGGCCTTAAGACTCATATTCTGTCAGTAAACCTGATTTGTAATTTTGATTTATCAAGTTATATTCCTATTTGATGTCTTTCTGAGTTGGACATTTTCCTTATTTTGACAGAAATGGAACTTGATTGTTAAATGCTGTTTATGTGGGTTGCGATTAGGGTGACCAGATGTCCCGCTTTGCGCGGGACTGCACAGCATTTTCACGACTTTTGGTGCGTCCCGCAAATTGAGACGATGTCCCGCATATTTCATTTTGATTGGCTAAAACGCTTTTCTAAAATCAGATTTATCCAATGGCTGTTGAGAAAGCAGGGAAGGCTATCATCACGGAGCTGTGTTTGCTGTCAATCAAACTGTAAAACACGGCGGGTGCTGGTCAAGTGTTAACCAATGAGAGTAACTCACTCACACACACACCGCCGCGGCCCCGCCAAACAACAACAATGAAAGTCAATAACGCAGGCGACGCAGCAGGTTATGGAAAATGGAGGAAACTGAAACTACAGCTAAGAAAAGAAGAAGATGCACATACAACAAAGACTGGGAAGACATTTACCCGTGGGCAGCGGCGGACTGGGACTACAAATCAGCCCGGGACTCTCGACCGGCCCACCTCGGTACCGCAAATAATCACCGCTAGTACATTTTCAACGTGGGGGGGGGGTGTTGAGAGGGTGTCCCACATTGTCCCACACAAACATACTCCTTGTCCCACATTTGGTTTGTTGGGACCTGGTCACCCTAGTTGCGATGTACCCAGTGGCGACTGGTCATTAGGGGCAGGTGGGGCACAGCCCCACCTAGTGTCAGCAGAAAGTATTAAAAATAATGATTACAAAAAAATATATATAAAATATATTTTAAGATCATGTTTAATCATCTGATTTGTCTGTACATTGCTGTTTTAGTCTGTGTTCTTCTAATTAGTGTGTCTACAGTCACAGTGTGTGCCTATTGAGCTGTTTAGAGCCATGTGGGACAAAACCTGATCATGCCCCTCCCTCTCACTGTCTAAGTGAACGGTGACTGTAAAAACTACACTGCGCATGCTCAGAGTATTTTCCTATTTAATGTGTGTAGGCAAAAAAATAATGACCATAGGGGCACTGAGCTGCCATCCCCACCATACGTCATCTCACATAATTCAGAGCTGATTGGGTGTAAGTACGTGTGCCGCGAAAAGTGTGGTGTGTGAAGAGGAGACGAGAGAGGTGCAGTGACGCATCCTAAAACCCGGAAGTAAGCTGCGCATGGCTTCCCTCGACAAAAAAGCAATGAGATTTCTCCATAGGATTTTAGAAAATAGCTCGAAATAAGATCTGTGGGAAACGTACCTGTTAGATAAATGCACGTTTTGATCAGCCGGATAACATCCACATGTCTACCCTACTTTTATAATTTTTTAATCATAAATCTATCGATTAGATTTATGATAGACTTTTGAAACTACAAGAAGATAAGGAGGACTTTTACAAAAAAGTAATAGAGATTTTTGTCCAGAAGGATAGGCAAATGGCCTTCATCTTCAAGTCAAGGTAAGACCGCCATTTTATTGAAAATGGGATCTTACTAAGAGAGAACAATTCAATATTTAAATGATAAAATTACATTTTTTGGGTATCCTTTTGTTGAACTGTCTGTTTAAAATTAATCGAAGCATCAGACAAAAAAAGCTTTTGAAAATAATATTATATTTTGATTTAGGTCAAAATATAATATTTGTAAACCTGAAGAGTCAGTGCCAGTGCCTCAGCAGCCATGAACCTCACTGCACGTCACTGCAGAAGCTTATATATAGACATCTACGTTTTTTGTGCCCCACCACTTTTGTACATATAAAAACGCCACTGGATGTACCAAAAGACGAATATGAATGTTTTATTCAAAAGGAGAACGCCTGGAAAAAACCCTGACTACTTTTTTAATGTTGAAAAGTATTTTTTCCAGTTTTGACTTGAGTCTTACTGCCTGAGCAACCCTTCTGCCCGTGTCAGAAACACTCTTTTGTTCTCACACTTTATAAGAATCTCTAAATGGTTGAAGCACCAAATGCAGGATAATCCAAGCAGCTAAAGTCTTTTCAGCGTGCTCTGAGCCCTGAATAAAGAACAGAAACACATTCTTCTGTTTCAAGGTCACAATGTGGATAACTATGATACAAGGCACGCTTAGCATGCACTACTTTCCCCAGGGTAGGATACTTAATGTGAGGATGACTTTAAAAACTGAACATTAAACTCAGATGTAGATAAGGCTAAATGAATTCATGTCACACATAAGACTTCAGATATTTTCAGATAAAAGACCAAAGAATAAACCGTAACTATGATCCATTGTAGCAGTGCAGCCAATCAGATCATCACCAGGGTGGGGAGGGGTACTTTAAAAACGTATCTGTTACAATAACTGATTACTTTCTCACACACACACACACACACACACACACACACACACACACACACACACACAACACACCACACACACCACACACACACACACACACACACACAACACACATCACACACACACAACACACAACACATCAAACACACAACAACACACAACACACACACACACACACACACACACACACACACACACACACACACACACACACACACACACACACACACACACACACACACACACACACCCACCACACACACACACACACACACACAGTAATGAGAGCGTACCTGTCAGCAGGATGCTGCCTCAGGTCAGTGCTTGCCTCCAGAGGAAGCCTTCCCCTGGCTGTTCCTGCGCGCACACACCTGTATGCTGTCCCCGCTCTCTGTCTGCAGCTTGACATTTGGTACGGTGAAGATAGAAGATACTGCAGGGGAGGAGACGCAGGCAGGTTAGAAGGGTGCAGGCTGACAGGAAGAGGAACATTTCTCAGTGAGAAGTTAGACACAGAGATTAGTTATGTATCTGCAGTGAGAAGCTTCTTAGGGTTTAAATATTGCTGTCATAAGTATCTCTAAAGGTATTTCAATTGTTACATGACACATTTGAACTTTACTCACTTGTTTTTAAATTATAATAATGTTGAAAATTGCAATTCTAGATTCTAAATTGCTACCAATTCTGATCATAATGTTTTTAAAGAAAAATGTCAATAGTCTTATCACTTCACTTTCGTCTTTGATTGTCATTTCCTGGCTCATACAGATGTAGACATAACTTCTGATTGATTGGGATACACAGCACTGTTGGTAACTCCTAAAGGAACCTGGAACGTTGGAACACTTGCATTGGATATATTCTAAGTAGTGCTTCATTTAGTGTCAGGAATGTGTTGTTGGAACAAAAGCCGAACCGTTAGAGACTGGTACATTAAGGCCGACCCAGAGGTTAGCATAGCAGGGCCGCCTTTTTAAAACTCATTGGATTTTAACATTGGATTTCAGAATATTGCAGGATATAAAATCTTTAGCAAAACAATTTCTTCACCTTGTGGCAAACCTAAAACACATTGAAAAACAGTTGCCTTTGAGACCAGGGAACCTTAAAGTGGTTAAATGCTAACTCATTTCCATGTTTAAGGACTCATAGCTGCAGCTCTCTATAGATATTACGTTACATTTTGTTTGTCATTTGTACACACTGCATTTTACTTTCACCGGGAATCCAGCTTATTCTGAAATATGTCTATATTTCTTTACATTTTGGCATATTTTGGCACCATTCAAAGTGTGCTGAGCCAACTAATAGAGGTTCTTGGATGCAATATACCAATGCATGTACAGACAACTTTTGGGAAAGCTTTGTGGATGTTTTCAGAGACAGAATCCCACTGAATCAAATGATATGAGCATCATGCATATTTCATTCAATCATGTGCCATTTTTGAGGTCAATGGCTGCAACTTTCCTATGTTTTTAGAAGCCCAGCATGCACCTGTCCCTTTCACCACATGCAGTATCTCTGCCTGCACCATTTCAAATCCTCATGGCCAGGCTCAGAGGCAGTAGTTCAGTTTAAGGGCAAACTCAAAACTCTTGTTCATTGGCTCATTGTTTCTGGTGCTTATCTTTCGGTGAACAATGGGCATCCAAAGTGGATTTAGCTCTAATTCCTATTGGAGCAAATGGATTTGAAATCCTTCTCTCTAACTGGTAAATAAAGGCAGTGGAATTTCACAAAGAGCAACAGTTCTTCACTTCCGGATCCATGACGCTCTGTCCACAGAGACAGAGAGACAGGAGAGAGTTCCCCCTGTTCTGCCAGGCACACACACACTTCCTCTGAAATCAAATTAAGAATGCCACTATCCAATCCTCAGAGTAGAAACATCAGGAGCTCCATTGTCTCAGTAATTCTCCCATTGTCCCTGGTAATCTGTCTGGGTATTGTCTGGATAAATCCATGATACACATGACAATAGAGTGAACAGTTGGCCATCGAAAGCATACTGTCATCCCTACAGCGAGAACATGGGACATTTACTTGAAAGCATTCATTTCTCAAACATATATGACATCTGTGTTACTGGTAGTACTGGTGCTGATTCTGTAGAGCAGCTTGTACTGGGCTGTTCCCATTAGAGCATTATTACCGTGCCTGGCTGTAGTCTAACTCTCACAGCTGGAGTAATTAGCCAGTTCTTTATCTCAAATTCACTTCATTTGCATAATTCTGACACATCCTTCCCCCACAAAACTGCGAGTGGCAAATCTGCACACACACATTGGAAGACTTTGTGTTTATCCACTCCTGTCCTAATTTCTCCAAACTGTTTGAATTCTCTCTGCTGCCTGTGTCACATGTGCCGCACAATAGAGAGGCAGAGAGAGCAAGCGAGCATGACAGAAATCAAAAGCAGCATCTCTCTCCTCCTCTGCTAGTGACCGCCGCTCTCTGATTCTTTTCAGACATGACAACCTGCTGGGTGCTGATAACAGGATTATTAATGCTGAGAATTCCTAATCGCAGGGAATTAAAAATGGAATTCTCCAATAAAACTACCACCATGTCAGTGGCAGCACACTCAGGTCTGCTGAGCAGGCTTTCACACTGCTAATGAATACCAGCTTAAGGGATTGGTGATGTACGTATAATCATATGGATATGTCATCTCAGACAGACCTTCATTCAATAACACAATTCTGTGGGATTCATTGAAAAATAGCCTTGAACTCTTACAGCCAAATACATGCAGCACACATCTGCTTCTAAAGTGAAGCATTGTACCTGGTGATTCTGTAAATCACCAGGTACAATGCATGGGTGGTGTTGAAGCGGGTGGGGGGTGCGGGCAATAGTGGCCAGTGCCCCTGTTACAATGAGCTTTGACCCCCCTGTGGCCCCCCTCCAAAAGAGGGGTTCAAATTGACAATGCAATTGTAGGTAGTGTTGTGCTGTGAATAGCCGAAGTAAACTAAAATGCATTTTCTTTTTCATTATGTAATTTAATAATAATTTAACTATAACAAAAATGATGTTACCAAAAAACACCAATGATGGTATTTTATGTTTTTTGTGCGCCATACACAATTTAAATGTTAAAATGTTGAACACTGTCTTTTTCTCTTTTTGGCCCAGCATTAAATCCCCCCACTCATAACATACTGGCCCCAGCAAGGCCCCCCCAGCAAGGCCCCCCCAGCAAGGCCCCCCCAGTCAAATGAGGGTTTAGAACCACAGTGCCTCAGCCTGCTCAGGACGATGTCAAATCAGAGTGTGTTGCTGCAGCCAGCAGAGGTCCGGCTGCGCTCACTGTCACAGCGGCAGCCTCATAATAAGAGCTTTCTCTGCAGGAACAAAAAGCTGCCCTGAGGTCTCTGCACTGCTCCTCTGCAGACAGAGAGCAGTGGCACTGTGATCCACAGCAGAGCAGGGGGCTCAGGAAGAAGAACACAGAGAGGAGAGACACTTTCTGACTGTCGAGGTATATCACTGTAGGAAAGAAAAGTCCATTTACTTCACATTGTCACTTTTTTTAATGTAAATACTGCTTGTGATAACTAGTGATTTCTTTAAATATTTGTTCAGCATATCCCTGTACTGTAACTTGTGTTTTTTTACATTTGTTAACAATTCAGCAGCATTAAAAGTGAGCTGAATAAGCTACAAGTTGTGATTTCAGGTCATGTGTGTGGAGTGGCTTGTGTTGCTGATAAGTAGAGTTGTATGTCATCAGTGAAGCATTACAACTGGAGGCTGTGACGAAGGATGCCAAGTTGCATTTACGCTTACAAAAACATGAAGTGGCGTTGATATTTGGAGATTATCCTGCTTATTTGCCAAAGATCTTATTTTCTGCAATATTCCAGAATACAAATGGAAAAATCCCACTGGGAGCCCGAACTTCCACGTCGGCCTTCTAAAGTACGTAATCACAGCACCTCCAAGTATTTTCTGCATTTTGGTCAACAGTATGTGTGTATGTGTGTCTGTGTCTGTGTGTCTGTGTATGTGTGTCTGTGTATGTGTGTCTGTGTGTCTGTGTCTGTGTGTCTGTGTATGTGTGTCTGTGTATGTGTGTCTGTGTCTGTGTGTCTGTGTATGTGTGTCTGTGTATGTGTGTCTGTGTGTCTGTGTCTGTGTGTCTGTGTATGTGTGTCTGTGTATGTGTGTGTGTGTCTGTGTCTGTGTGTATGTGTCTGTGTGTCTGTGTCTGTGTGTCTGTGTGTCTGTGTATGTGTGTCTGTGTATGTGTGTCTGTGTGTCTGTGTCTGTGTGTATGTGTCTGTGTGTCTGTGTCTGTGTGTCTGTGTGTCTGTGTCTGTGTGTCTGTGTATGTGTGTCTGTGTGTCTGTGTGTCTGTGTCTGTGTGTGTGTATGTGTGTCTGTGTGTCTGTGTATGTGTGTCTGTGTATGTGTGTCTGTGTATGTGTGTCTGTGTGTCTGTGTGTGTGTGTCTGTGTCTGTGTGTCTGTGTGTATGTGTCTGTGTGTCTGTGTCTGTGTGTCTGTGTGTCTGTGTATGTGTGTCTGTGTGTCTGTGTCTGTGTGTCTGTGTATGTGTGTCTGTGTATGTGTGTCTGTGTGTCTGTGTGTGTGTGTCTGTGTCTGTGTGTCTGTGTGTATGTGTCTGTGTGTCTGTGTCTGTGTGTCTGTGTGTCTGTGTATGTGTGTCTGTGTATGTGTGTCTGTGTGTCTGTGTCTGTGTGTCTGTGTCTGTGTGTCTGTGTCTGTGTGTCTGTGTGTCTGTGTCTGTGTGTCTGTGTATGTGTGTCTGTGTGTCTGTGTATGTGTGTCTGTGTATGTGTGTCTGTGTATGTGTGTCTGTGTATGTGTCTGTGTGTCTGTGTATGTGTATGTGTGTCTGTGTATGTGTCTGTGTGTATGTGTGTCTGTGTGTCTGTGTGTCTGTGTGTCTGTGTGTCTGTGTGTCTGTGTATGTGTGTGCTGTGTCTGTGTGTCTGTGTATGTGTCTGTGTGTATGTGTGTGCTGTGTCTGTGTGTCTGTGTATGTGTGTCTGTGTCTGTGTGTCTGTGTATGTGTGTCTGTGTCTGTGTATGTGTGTATGTGTGTATGTGTGTCTGTGTATGTGTGTCTGTGTCTGTGTGTATGTGTGTGCTGTGTCTGTGTCTGTGTGTCTGTGTATGTGTGTATGTGTGTCTGTGTCTGTGTGTCTGTGTATGTGTGTCTGTGTCTGTGTATGTGTGTATGTGTATGTGTGTGCTGTGTCTGTGTGTCTGTGTCTGTGTGTGCTGTGTTACGTACTGTCCTGCAGCTCACAGAGCCGCGGAGGAAGGTTGCTGAAGTACTCGTGGTTCAGCGCTGCCTGGGCAGACAGCCGGTTCTTTGGGAAGCACTGGAGGAACCTGGAGGCCAACTCCTCGCCGTGGTCCACGTAGCCCAACCTGACACACAGAAGCACACTTCATCAGAGAGACACCACAGAGACGCACACGCTAGAGACAGTTCAAAAAAGGTTTGAGATAAAAGACTACAATTCCCACAGTGCGAAACGTTAGACACATAAATAGGCATGGACACAGTTCTCAACCGTTACATTCTTTAGCATTAGCATCTTCTTGGTTTTGTCTCTTTTGTTTTGACCACAACAGAAAACAGGCGGTCGACCCATTTAGCCGATCCAATGCTCTTTCCTTTAAATATATATATAGAGTTACCATTCATTCATCCCTTTGAGAAATAAACATTTTTTTTCCAATTCACAGAGCTGCTGACAACAAAAACTAAGCCTCCTAATGAAGCTGAGGTCTGCTGACTCAAGAGGGAAAACACCTCGTAGACACATGAGAGCACACACGCCTACACCTTGCTCCTCGCTTCACACATGACGGGCAGGTCACAGGGCTTTGGAGCTACACGTTGGCTGGAGGAGTAAAGCGTGTGTGTGTGTGTGTGTGTGTGTGTGTGTGTGTGTGTGTGTGTGTGTGTGTGTGTGTATTCATACTGGGAGTCACTGAACTCCTGAACCAGCCCCACCTAGCAGTGCCGAGGGGGAGAAGAGATTGGAAATAAGGAAGAGCAACACATTCAGTGAGTAATTAGTCATCTCTGCATTAAATAAACATGATGTTATTCAGCTCTCATGCACAGAGCGCCTCTCATGTTCTGCAAGCCTCTCACAGCCCAGCACTCTGACACACACTCCCATGGCTCTCAATGGGGATCTCAGCTCCACTTATCAGCAGAGACAGAGGAGGGGGAACTGTTCAACTCATCCACGCCACTCAGCAGAGTTAATGAAGTCCATCAGGGCCTCCGCTCGCCTCTTCCTCACACAGCTGCGGGACTCCAGTGCACACTCAGAAAGTCTCTGTGAGAAACTATACTTATGGAAAATAACTGAAAGTGAAATGAGACAGGTTCTTAAGGCCATTACTGATACTAGTTCAGTTTGAAGCAGCTGATTAACAGTGCAGCTATTCAACCGTTTTGAAGAGAAATGAGAGCTTCTCATTGCTGCAGGGTTTGTGTTGGTGCTGGATTATGGTGATGTGGGTTTTTTTAATGCATCTTCTACATGCCTAAGATCTCCGGATGCCGTTTACCACAGGGCATTGAGGTTCATTGCAAACCTTAAAACCCATACGCAGCATTGCTGCTTGTATGCTCAGGTTGGATTTTTCTGATTTACATCTATTGCAAAAGTACGGGATCCATGGGCTACGTTCTGAGGACTTGTTTCTGCTAACTGTCCCTAAAGTCCACACTGAGCTGGGAAAAGGGCCTTCAGTTATGATGCTCCATTTGCTTGGTAGCTGCCACACACACTGCACTTCTTAATGACTGATGAGCATCAGCTCTGTCTGTAAATTCCCAGCATGCACAGCAACAGGCTCCGACTTGTGCAACAGCCTTGCTGCACTGAACATCTCCAGAGAGGTAATGTTCACACTTTGAAAATCTGTCTTCATATTTTGCAGGGCTAATGTGGTTAGAATGCATTATAAAAACATTGTGAGAACTATTTACTGAGAACTGTTTTAGAGGAAATGCCTGCATCGAAGGACTAAAATCGAAGGGGTCATCTTCTGGGGAGTATGAATGTGCCCAGAAATGAAAAGGTAAAATGCCTATTAGATTTCATCTGCTTCAAGTGTTCTCTGAAAGTTTAGCTGGCCATGCTTAGCTGTGCAGTTTCTCTGCAGGTGCCAACACAAAGGGTGGATGTAGGTGTGAAATCACCTGGATGTGAGCATGTTGGCCTTTGAACAGTGTTGATGTACAGTAGGTGCACATTCCTTTGTGTTATGGCTGTCAGCCGGCCCGATGAATAAGTGCACATCTACAGTGAGATGGATCATATCTCCTGAAATATCAAACAGCTGCAGGTGATGGCACATTCACAGCAGAGAGGAGCATTCCTTCCTCACTGGTGCATGGCCATGCTTTTAAAGGTATTCTATCAGAAAACTACACCAAGGCCTTTTGAGAGAAGAGATAGAGGATACCACCTGCCTTGCAGTGCGCCCCACCCCCCCCCCCCCCCAACTGCAAAAAGTGGTCTCTTCGTTTGATCAGACAGCAGGAGCTGTTTTAGGAAGAAAGCTGTGTGTATTTTGTCTGAAGACATCATCTTAAATCTGACATATTTGATGATGAGGTTGTTGTGAGGGCGTCTTGAGTCCAACAGGCCTGAGCATGCAGCTGTAGGCTGTAGGGTCACCCTGGAAACATTAGTGCTCTCAGATATGGGTTAAACAAAGCGGGTCTATTGGAGATTCTAGAGATCTCTAGGACCCTCTGATCAATGTCTGGCATCCGGTCATAGTGATTATACCTTACTGATTCAAATGTTCATATATAACATTTGGAATCAAAAGTAATTGCATTCATAGGGGCAGTATTAGATATGAATGTGTTTTATGAACATTACAGCATGTAAAGGGGGGCAGCTGTGGCTAAAGACGTGGTAGTTCTTCAATTGGAAATCATTTCAGGTATGCCCTCACTCATCTCTCTTCATAAACGTGATATAAAATACTATAGCACTTTCAGGATTGCTATAAATATGAACTTTCAACAACTACTATCTAGTCAAAAATATATATAAATAAATATTGATACTGTATGCTGAAGCTGAAGCACACATGCAACCAGTTTGAAATCCTCCTATAAAACTGATAATCTACACGTTTATGAACACAGTTTGATTCACTGCAGTCAACATGTGGAGGTGTTATTGATGAAGGTACTTTCCTCCACTTTGCTTCAAATGGCTTTAAAAGATGACTTTCTGAATGTTAGTTTCCTGAGCAGGTGCACTTTGTAAGGCAGCCTCTGCCTCTATATGAATGTGTGTGAAAAGTCAAGCAAAGCGGTATATAAATGCAGTCTATTTACTGTCCATTTAAAGATTAAGTATCTGTAAGTAATCAAGTAGTATTCATATAAAAATACATGAACCTGAAAAATAGGCACTATAGGCGCTTTCACACCGCAGTACTTTTCCCACAAAGGTTCATCAGAACTTAGTTCATCAGAACTCTTTAGTTCTGATGAACTAAGTACAGATCGCGTTCACACCGGAATAAATCCCTGAGGGAGGATTAGGCAAATGAAGCCGCTGACGTCACTTCGTCTTCTTCTGCTTTGGGTTTACTGGCAGGCCGCAAACAACTTCACGGCGTATACTGCCACCCGGAGTCCCCGGAGTTGGGGACTGGCTTCAGTAGAAGCTGCTGGGACTCCCAGCAGCTTCTACTGAAGCCTTCAGAGTAAATCGCCAGAACGCCGACACCTCCTCATCTCCACCGCTCCCATGTTTTCTTTTGTGTTGCCATAAGTTAGTCTCTCTGCGTTTCTGCGCTGGGCGAATGCTAATGCTAATGCTAATGCGAGGATAATAAAATGGCGGCTTCACAAAACTTTTTGGGAGTTTTACGGGGCGTGGTTTGCAATCCGCCCAGCCAATCAGAAATGGGAACCTTTTTCTCCCACGAAAGTACCTGCTCTCTAGCAGGGACTGAAAAGGTGAAAAGGTTCTCATGAACTCATTTTAGTTCCGGATTTTTTTGGTGTGAACGCAACATTTCAGAACTATATCGGAACTAAAGTGGGAAAAGTACTGCGGTGTGAAAGCGCCTAATATGGGATTTTACAAGAACATACAGTTGTATTACTATATCTGTTACAGTGCAGAAGCGCACCAAACAGATATAAACCCTGAACCCTTTACTGGACATCAGTCTCTCACATGTCCTCAGCTGCAGGAAGGAAAACAAAGCAGAAACAGGAGAGCAGCAGAGGGAGAGCCAGGCAGAGTGAGAGTTTGAGTTCATATCACATTCATCATTCCTGGCCTCTGATGAGAGAGACAGAGAGGAAGTGCCGGTCATTAACATTCCACCTCACCTTCTTTCTTCACATTTGTATTTCCTCCTGGACTGTTAGCAGGGCCAGGACACTGGGAGGGGAAATCCACCTCAACCTACTCCATTTTCCATTGGTCATCACATGTGGTCAATACACTTCTTTACATTCCTTATATCCAGTATAATCAACTCTAAACTTGAGCTGTCTTTCCCAAATGTTTCAAACTGGAGTTACAAAGTTGTTATATGACAGCAGAGATACTTAAACTTCAAAATCAACATGACATGATTATTTATTTAATAACTTCATACAGCAAAACTACATAGAAGAACAATGCATGTCAAGTTGGAGGAAATAGGATTAGAAAGAAATGTTTGAAATGTGTCCACCTGGCTAAATGGCCTAACCTTACAAACTGTTAGCAATGTCTTCATGTTCCATATTCTTTTATATATCATTTAATTTGTATTGAATGGTGTTTAATAACATTACAATCAAAATGTCTACGTGACACCAAACATTGAATTGCTCCAAAAAACTCAAATATGAAGTATTAACAACAACAAAAAATGTGTATGAGAAAAAAGATAAATACTTTAATTAAAGAATAACAAAGTTGATGAAAAATGGTTGTCATCAGATAATATTGCATCCCCACTCATCCTTGCAAAACAAAGAAACAAACTTTCGACTGACTTTCTTTTTTTGAATTTCTTGTCTAGGCAGATTGCTGGGGACAAATCGATTTTACAATTGCATTTGTTTTGTAGATATATGAGAGTTGTGTCAGTAAGGTGTCTGTAGTCCTTTCTGTACAGATAACATGTGCAGATGGGAATAAGGACACAGATGAATTGAAACCACAGGAGGAACACAGGTATCACTCGTCTTGTGGATCCCCGTGCAGCAGCTAGACTTTGTGACACAGCTGATCAGACAGCTGCAGTTTTACATAAATCTCTTTCCTGGTGCTGCTTTACATTTCCCTGAGGAAAACACACACCCCCCCTCTGCCCTCTGTGGTCTCCCCTCCAGATGTTTGCCTCGGGCAAACAGTGGCACACATCTGGGGGAGCCTGGACTGTGCCACCATGACCTTTTTCTGCCATATGAGCCTGAGCAGAATCACACACACACGTATGCCTCAGGAAGGGTAGAGGCAGAGGAAGAACATGTGAGTGTGTGAGCTGCACTATCATTGTGTTCAAAACCCAGGAGAGTGTGCCTCTAAAGAAAGGAACTAGGAACATAGTGTCAGCTTCAACACCCTGTGACATAACACTTTAGGTATATACAGTACAAAGTAACACACACACACAAGTTTGTTCACTTACTTATTCCAGGCTTGTCTGAGCTTCTTGGGGCTGTACACTGTAAAGCGGTCTGTAATGAAAAGACAACAAACCAACATTTAGTCCTTAACTTGGCATCACATTTAAGTTAGACCTCCTAAATACTGTGGTATATCAAGCCAAACCCCATTGTAACATCTGCCAATTAGAGGTTTTATTGGTTGATTGTAAACATTCATACAATATAACATACCTGCAATGTTTTTATAATCACTCAAAACCTCTGCAAACATATTTTCACTTTGAAAGAATAACATACTAATCCTCCCATGCTTCTCATTTACAGCAAAGCAGGAAAGTTGCAGGTATATCTTATAACTTGAACAATGTGCTGTTCAGTGTAAATGTCAGAGAAGGCTGAGCCAGTGAGCACATTCACTTTAAAGGAATGTAGCCATAATCAAAGTGATTCATAACACGTGTGTGTTTCTTGCTGTGCCATATTCAAATGTTTGTAGTGAGACAGGTCAATAACTGACCGCGTCCACCATACTTCTTTTGAAGTTGGACTATGGGACAACAGAAAAACCTTCTAAAAAGTATTTGGTTTCAAGGAAAAGTCTGTTGGCGTCTCACACGTTTTTTGGTTGTTAGGCCAGCATGTAGATGAGAGACGCTGGATCCATGATGTTAAAGGTTTTAACTGCGCAGCCCAGAGATAATATCTTACATTTGTGAGTTTGAGCGACTGCATTTTTTACAGTCTGATTCTTGGCCGCCTTCCCTGCCATATACATTTTAGGGAAAGGCCTGTCTAATCTGTCAAATGTACACTTAGGGTGGAAAGGTTACATTTGAAATGGACTGCGTACAGTCTTGATCCAACTTGACAGAGACAAATGACGTGTTGCCCATATGTCTAAATCCTTTTGGAATATGCTTTTGTAGTTAGCGGTATACATTTTTGAAACAATGGGGGAATTTGTATAGTAAGGTATTTATTGATTGTTTTTATAATTATTCCCCTTAAGTCCAAAGCCATGGTTTAATCATGAATGACTTTATTACCCAAGCAATATCTAAACAAAGTCTTAATACAATTAGTGTTTCTTTGAAGTGTGAAAAAAGAAGGTGTGGCTCCTCTCATTTCAGAAATGCTCCAGTCTTGAGTAACACAGAGTGAACTATGTTGTGCTCCAGCCAGGAGAGAAAGTCCCTCCATATCTGCTGTGAGTGTGTGCACTGCTCTATTCATCTCAGCCAAAGCAGCCATGTGGACGCAGAGTGAGGCTGAGCTGCCAACTCACAAGCTAGCCAGCCACCCAGAGAGGTCATATTTTCCCTTACAACTGGAACAGGTTACAACTACATTTAAATCTTACTTTCCTTTTGAATGTATTAAAGACATTTAAATGTAACTTGGTGAATGTTTTCAATATGATATGATACATGCACATTGCTTGTGATGACTTCTGTGAGCTGGGTATACTTCATTTACACAATTTATCTTCCGAAATAGAGCTTTTGTTCAGATAAGACGGTAGGAATCATGGCTGTTTGCCACTGGATTGCTATGGGAGGCCACTCCATCTGTTCAGTCACAATTGAACACCATGATACTTGATGAACACTAAGGGAAGTGACTGCTTCAGAAAATATGGATAACACATATTTAATTGACTGATATGATATATTTGGTTTTACTTGGAATGGCATGTTAAAGCCTGGCCTTATACATAATAGTCATTAGATTGTAGGTAGAGCAGAGTAGAGAACCAGAACAACATGTGATAGCAAGTGTCTGTGGAACCTTTTCATGTCCACAAAAATGTAAAAATATACTTCCATTCTGAGATCAAGCTACTAAGAGATGTTAAGCTAGTTTGGATTGAAAAATAACAGTGAATATGTGATGAATGATAGCCAGTCACTGTAGATCAGAGGGAAGATACCAGTGAGGCTCTCAGTGAAAACTGGAAAGGATTTCCAAACTAACGCAACACTGCCATCTGCTGGGCTTTATTCAATTTGAAAAATGTCTATGGATTTATTTTTGGACAATAAATATTCAGATTATGGAAAATACAAAATATATTTTAAAAGACATTGATTTTACAGGTTACCAGATTAGTATCATACTTTTGTATCAGCCTGTACCATGCATTATTTAGTTTGGACCGTAAAGTCACCCTTTTGGACCTTTGTCGTATTGGATCGGCAGACTTTTGAAGAAAAACAATGCTAACAAAAAAGAATACTTTGCCCTACACAGCTTGCAATTCATATAACAAAGAAATATATGTGTATGTAAATATGTGTATTTTGCTTTGATTTTGAATAAAAAATATAAATCTATATTAAGGATGAACTTTTGATAACCCTACCGTGATGTAACCTTCAGAGGAGATTAGAATATACAGAACAATCGAACAGTTAAAGCGAATCTGTATTTATTACCAGCAGATCATAATCCTATAATGTGTGGTGATAATTTTTTCGCCCAATTTGATCGAACAGTGATCACTGACTATGTTAGCATGTGTGTTTGTGTGTGTTGTCAGACAGCTGCACAGCTGTTCAACACTGTGTTTGAGTGCAAACAAGAAACAACCGTCGCCATGGCCACAGGATGAGAGATTACACGTTGTGTTGTGTGTGTGTGTGTGTGTGTGTGTGTGTGTGTGTGTGTGTGTGTGTGTGTGTGTGTGTGTGTGTGTGTGTGTGTGTGTGTGTGTGTGTGTGTGTGTGTTCGAGACCATGAGCCCCCCAGTTGGTCACTAATTGGCACTGGAGATGGGAGGCTGCATCCCATTGCCCGCACCATCACTCTCACCCTCTTTATGTCCATCCTCGCTGTCCCCTCTCCTCCACTCCACTCTTCTCCCCTCCATCAGCACGCACTAATCTGCACTCCCTCTTTTCATGTTCCCTCTAAAAAGCCCTAATGAGCTCCCAGAGGGCATGGCTGACACCCCCAGCCTACCCCACCCCACCCTGCCTTGCCCCTGCCCCTGCTGCTGCTGCTGCTGCTGCTGCTGCTGCTACTGTTGCTGCATTAATGTGTAGTGGGCTTTTGTCCCATTGGTTCAGAACCAATAACTAATCGATAACATGACTTATTAATTAACAAGTGAGCAAACGTTGTGAGTCAAAGCAAATTCCATGGCTTCATACCAAACATGAGTATGTTAAAGTGTTAGCATAAAGCCTGGTGTAAATATATTATGTAAGCTAAAGTGTTAGCATTGAGCCTGGTTAAAAAACATTTTTTGTGTGAGCTAAAGTGTTAGCATTGAGCGTGGTGTTAATATATTATGTGAGCTAAAGTGTTAGTATTGAGCGTGGTTAAAATATTTTTTGCGTGAGCTAAAGTGTTAGCATTGAGGCTGGTGTTAACAACGTTAGCACAAAGCCTGGTGTTAATAATAACTATTGTTTGAGCTAAAGTGTAAGCAGGGAGCCTGATTTTATACAAGTACACAAACAAACTCACGGCATTTCGTGTTATAGCCACGAAATTAATTTAATCTATTGATTCGTGTTCACCAACACGATTTTCACATTTTTTTCGTGTCACACTGAACTATTTTAAAAGCAATGTATTTCTATTGGTAGTATGTTTCGTGCCTGCACCACGTCTTTTTGTCCAGTCGGGTCTTGGAGCTCCCCAGGGGCGGATCTAGACAAATATCCATGGGGTGGCAAGAGGGTGGCAGGAGATTTTGAGGGGTGGCATCCCCTGGCAGAAGTATATGCTGATTTAATCGCAGTCATATCAATCAATGTTAACTTGGAAAGCCATAATATTTATATTTTAACTCAATAACATAGGTGACATTATTGTGGCACATCTTTTAAGCCTTACATATAAATATATAAGGTGGCAGACATAATTTAATGAATTTTAACTGAACAATAACTGAATGAGTTTGTTTCACTCTTAGACCAGCAGGGGTACCAAATCTATGCAGACTGCTGCAATAAGTACATTAATTAACTGTCTCATCGATGTTTGTCTGAATGAATATGATACTATTAACAATCATATTATTCCTATCAGCTGTCAATCACTGTTATGATTCACATATTCATTTATTATTGAATAAACTATATTTTTTGGAGTTAATGATGAATGTTCCCCCTCCTTCAAATTTGAAAGACAAGTAATTATATCATGTATCAAAATTCAAAAGATTCAAAGGAACAGTTCAGCGCCCCACGACTTTACTGCAAACAGTTAAAACCTTGACTTTACATCAGAAAGAGCAAACATTAAAGAAGTGACTAACTGCATCAGTTAGGGTTAAAAAACCGTGTATTCAGCTAAAACATATACATCGCTGCAGTTATTATCCAGTGGAAAGCCCTTACCTACTGGCCTAGTTAAATCAAAGTGGTTACTTTTGTTTGGCTGGGCAGTGTAGTTTTACACACCGTCTTATTTGACTTTCTCAGGACTTAAAACAAAGAAAAAATATATACACACATACAAGGTCATCATCTTACGTTTTTTATGCTCATCGAGTCATCCGTGAGCAGAGCATCAAGTTGGCATGCCTATAACAGCTGAATGCGGCGATTACCATCTTGTTCAGCAAAATGCCTCACAAACTTATTAAGATCAACAGCTTTAGTGCGTTTTGATTCAATGCTGAGTACAGCCACACTTGACAGTCTCTTCTCTGTCATTGCAGACCGCAAATACCTCATTCCTTCTGTCTGCTTGGGTCTGAATGCTTCTCGTTTTGCGTCGTCCCCCGGTTCAAATGAAATCGCCGCCAATCATATTTCCAAGCTCGCGCCAGGGCCGGGGGAGGGGTCACAAGACTCGCGTCTTGTGCTGCATTCACTTGCACTCGGACATTAGAGATTTTCTCTCATAAATGTCCGATGAGCCACAACTTTTCTTTCAAAACAAAGCTGCCAACTGGGGTGGCAGCTGGGGTGGCAAGGCTATTTGTTAGGGTGGCAGTTGCCACCCCATGCCACCCCGGTAGATCCGCCCCTGGAGCCCCCTAACCCTAACCCTAAGCTGTGTGGTTGATAAAAAAAATGTCTTACTCAATATCTTACCCTAAGCCTAACCCTAACCCTAACCCTTTTATTTTAAATAGTATAATGTCTGAGTTTTTTTGCCGTCCGCGAGGAAAAGAAATGGCTCAGAGCCTCAGAATACTGAAATCTGTATTTTTAAAAATCTTTTTTTCCTTCTAATTTGTTATTATTTGGTGCAGGCAGGAAACATACTACCAATAGAAATACATTGCTTCTAAAATCGTTCTGTGTCAGAATACTGAAATCAGTATTTTTTAAAATCTCTTTTTCCTTCTAATTTGTTATTATTTACATTGCTTTTAAAATCGTTCTGTGTGACACGAAAAACATTGGGAAATCGTGTTCGTGAACACGAATCAATAGATTAATTTCGTGACTATAACACGAAATGCCGTGAGACTGGGTTGAACCAGCATACAGTAATACAAAAAACAAAAAATGCAATGACATTAGTTACAAATAAAACAAAAAAACAAACCATAATGCTTATAATAAGGCATGTTGCTATACTCTGTTGCTAAAACATATCATACACAAATGATGATAGCTCCTATGCTAACTCCTCTTTGTATCCAATGCTTCCTGGTAACCCTCTGACCAACACTACTGTATGTGTTCTTTCTTTTGGTTTAGGTCTAAGTATGATTTACTTTATTGAAGCATTAAAATGTTGTCTCTGTGTATATCTCTGGTATAACTTAATGACATGAAAGGTCTTACCTGGTTTGAAGTGAGGCAGAGAATTAACACCAGGCCAGGTCTCCTCTGACGGGGTGCCGATGACCTGAAAAACACAGCAACAACAAGAGTGTTATAAGCAATGAAATATACTCATCTGTCCTACTTCAGATTTACCGAATAAGTTCTCAAATGATTAAACCCTAGATACCAACTTCTATGTCATTTCTGCTTTGTGCAAATATGTATTAGGATAGTTGCTTCCACATAACAAATTGATCTTACAAAAAATACATTAATGACCATTCAAGATATGGCAGACAAAATTAGACCATTTGTGATATATTTTTGTTGAATATAAATCAAAAAATTGCACTTTGCCATTACAAAAAAAGACACATTCGTACTGTGAGTCATTAAAGTGAGAGAAAGAGACACTTCAACATGACTGTCTGTTTGAGAAAGGTGGACTTGCAGCACAAAGGCATCCCATAGCTTGTGCAATCATCCTGATTAGTAACTTTAATGGAAAGACTGGCTGAGTTCTCACGCACACAGCCTGCTTTATGATGACAAAAGCCAGAGCAGCGGACATGCCTTCCACATGATCCATCACAGCTAAGCAGCATAATAGTTTCCAGATTGCCCCGCTGTCTCTGATCCGCAGCACACTCCTACAGGAGAGTCAATCCGGGCTCTGCTAAAGTGAGCTGCACACACCCACGCACGCACGCACACACACACACACACACACACAGAGTGCACCACAAGGTATTTATTGTATATGACCTGTCATTGTCCCATTATTATGTAAGAATGTAAAGTCTGAATGGGATTTATGTTTTAAAAACTTTTGCTACATGACTGAATCAATAAATGTATTGTTTGAGCTCTAAACATTTTGGCTTTGTGCTTTTAATTGTCTTTTTCCTGGAAAATGTTCATAACAACAAGATATTAATGAGGTAACGCTGAAAAAGAGTTTCAGTCATTGTCAGTGAATCCAACATGAAATAAAACAATACAGTAAATACGTAATTGAAGGCATTATCAGAAATATAAAACACAACTTTTTAGAATGAATAACATAACTTTTGTAATCTCTGTTTTGTTATTACTATTATAATAATAATAATAATTATTATTATTATCATCATTATTATACTATTATTATTATTATTATTATAACTGGAGATGACTCTTGATTCCATAACAGTGACAGTATCCATGGCGACATACACAAATAAATCCTCAGTCAGAAACAAACAGACGGTCGGAGGCTTGTTTCCCTCTGTAGGCCTGTTAATGTCACAAGTAGCAGCCATAGTGGATGCAAGAACAAAACACGGCACTAGAGAGCAGTACAGCACCACGAGGCCCCCCCGCTCAGTGAGCAGACAAAGAGAGTTCAGTATGCAAGCTCAGGTCCCATTGTTTTAAACCTCATTTGCATTAGAGGCTAAATCTAGTTCTGGAGAATATCATGTATTATTTGAATATATGAAAACACACTTGTAAATTATGCGCCCATGTGAATATTGGAATATGTTTTGGTGTGCTGTAACAGGGTGTCCGCGGGGTCTTAAAAAGTATTACAAGTTGATAAATCAATTTAGCGAAAATGAAGGCTATTAAAAAGTATTAAACTGCATTTTCCAAGGTATTACATGTTGTAGCTTGTTTTCAATAAGTATATCAATAGTCCAAAGAGGTTGTATTCTACAGTCTGCCTGAATGTAATCATTGCGTAGGTGTGTAGTGTGATTCTGTGTAGTTTATTTATGGCATCCCGTTGGATTTGACGTCATCTGAACAGGACGCTCACTGCTTGATAGCGCGCGAAGGTCCGTTTACGCCGGTTGTTAAACAACATCGTTATGGAGAAATGCAAGTTTGCGTCCAAATGGTTGGAAGATAAGGAGGAAGGACAATCAATACTGTATATAGTCAATGTGAGGTAAAGTGTGTCGCCAATGTAACCGGTTACAACTCGAATTGGCGATGAGGTCTTAAAATGTATGGAAAGGGTCTTAAAAAAGGTCTTAAAAGGTCTTACATGTGACTTCAGGATTCCTGCATATACCCTGTGTAATCATTCCTTCTGTTGATCTGACCCAACATGAAGCTTCAGCAGTCAGACAAGTTAGACTGTGCATATATACATATATACTTATATACTAGTAATTATAGTATTTTCTACCGTCACCCTGCAGCCACTTCATTACTTTCAATTTGTTTCACTGCTACATACCTGGAATGTGTCATTATTATTTGACTTACATTTTTTAATATGTGTGCATGCCACTTTACTAAATACCTTTTTTTATATTCTCTACGATTAGTGTCTCTTTGCTGTAACAATGTATATTTCCCCACTATGGGACTAATAAAGGAATTCTGATTCTAATGGATTTTGTTTTAACATTGTGAACCCATTCTTAAAGTCACATCTTTTTTATTATGGCTTTATAACAACGCTGTGCTACCAGTCTTGATTCCCGTGCGGCTAAATATAAAGACAGGGCATGTTTGACTTTGAACACATTATGCTGATGCTGCTGTTTCTTCTTCTTCTTCTCTTTTCATATCCTACATGGAAAATCCCCTTTGCTGGGACAGTGGATTCCCAGCCCGGCACAGACAGGTTAATGACCACATGAAACAGCATGTTGACAGGGAGGACATGGCAGCCCGTCGGGGGGGAAGGGGGGAGGGGGGGGGGGGCAGTATTCCTCTCTCAACTTGCGTGGGCGCATTAAGGGTGCAGAGAGGAGCATGCATCACAGAGAGAGAGTTGTGCCACACAGGAATTCCTGTGAGGTCGCAGGTCAGGACTCTGAGTTCGCATGCACATTCAGCTGGACATACATAGTCTACATACCCCCCCCCCCCCCCCCCCCCCAAAAAAAAGATAACTCAGTTACAGACCACCCAGCCAGACAGCCCAAACAAACAGTCCGTCTGACCTTCACCCAGGAACCCCCCAATTATACGTGAGCTTACAGAGATGTGTGTGGAGCTTCACACTGTGATACACATACATTCCCTAATTCAATTGTCTTTGTGTTTAAGGATACTCAGGTTTATATATATATGTATATATAATTCTCTGTGTCATGTTAAAGGGGAATTTCAAGGTTTTAGAATAACATTTCCCAAACAAATTGGGGGAAACAAAAGTAAAGCAAATCAAAATCAGAGCTTGAGATACAGTATCTTGACTTTTATGCATTTGCATACCATCCATACTGTAATGACAAGCTATAAGGGCTATGAAGACCTTTGTTTTGTTTCCCAGTGACCCAGCAGCACAACCAGGCTGCTTAAACTAAATGGAATATGGTTGTTATTCGTTTTTTTTTATAGGTTAGACCTGTGATCTGAACATGAAAAATAAAAAAAATAAAAAGTGAGTAGACTCTATTTCCATGAGGCATTTCAACGAGCCATAGAAAAAGAGTAGGTCTAATTGAGAACATTAATGATAGCTCTGTTCCAGTTGTATTCATGGCAATAAGCCAGCATGCACAGAGCGACTGTAGGACCCTTGAACCGGGACGCAGCCATTATTCTTGTTAAACATTTTTTATTCCTACTATGACATTTCTGCAAAGTAAAATCCTACTGCTCTTAAAAAGACGTTGGTGGTTTATCTACAGGTTGGTCAGTTCGGCAAGGATGTATATTTATAAGGGCGGCATAAATTGGAAAAGGTATCTAATTGGGATTATTTTCACTGATGTTGGAATTAAATGATGATTCACGGTATAAAAGAGAATGACTGTTTTCGAAACATTATTCATATAATCATTGAAAAAATACATTGAAATGATCACAGTGTGATTTTGTACCTACTGTACAAGGATGTTCTGTTGTTGTGTAGAATACCATTTGTATCGTTTGACTGGGACTTCTCAAACATGTTACATATTTTGCCTTAATCAAATATTGGGCTTACTGCATTTTGGATTTTGCAGTTCATATTGCAATATTGATCAAATTGAAGTAATTGTGCAGCCCTTATATCTAATGGCTGCACGCACGTCTATCATTTTGACATGGGGTGCATCTCACTTCGGTTAAATGGATTCCTTGCGTCCCTCACTTGCGTCGTTTCCCTGCGACTAGTCCCTCCCACCAGGGAAGCATGGAGAGACGCAAGGAAACCACGAGAAGCAGGGAAATGAGTCTTAAGAGCAATGGGACGTCCTTTCCTCCGGAGCGTCACGTGAAGCGACGTCCGTTTGTGATGACGCCGCACAGCTGATGTCTGACAGCAGCCAGATCAGTGCATGCGCTGCATCGCCCAATCAGTGAGCGATACATAGTAAGGGGGCGGGGCGAGTGTCTGAGGATTTCACCGGAGGATGGTCTGGTAGTTCCTCGATTATCGCTCCTCCGTTATCGCTCCTCGCTCCTCCGGCACAAATAAGGCCACTGGGACGCTACTCAAGATGGCGCAGACAAATCAACTTCCGGTGAGACCGAGCCCGAGGAGCGAGGAAATGAAAAATAAGAGAAGTGAAACGCACCGTTGGTCTCAGGTTTGCCACTTGCATTGGTTCATTCCCTTAATCCAAACACATGCAGCAGACCTGATCCTGGTCCCCCCCCCCCCAATCCCCTCCTCCACTCTCTGTCTTTATCTAAATTCTGTATCTTCATCTCCTTCACTGCTTCAAACATCTCACCCCCCCCCCCCCCCCCCCTCGCTCTTCAACCCCGTCCCACTCTCACAGATTGGGGTCAGCTGCAGGCGGGGGTCAAACGGATCAGAACCAGAGCCAAGTGGATCAGCTGTCCCCCGCTGTGACGGTGGAATGTGTTCAGTAAGCCCTGCCTGTCTGGGTCGCAGCAGATGGATGCTCATGTCACTGACACACTGTCGCTGAAAAGGTATTATTTATCTCCCAGCAGCCCCTTCCTCAGCTCACATGTGCAGCGGCTTACTCTTCATAGCAGGAATACACTCAGTACCATGCAGGACCCCTCTGCTGCTGGACAGACCCTGTCAGTTGTTCTTATACAGTAGTACCATGTTCTAATGGTTCTACTGTAAAGGGTCTCTTTTACATATTTCAGCAATGTAGGTGAATAAATACACCC